CATTTTACCAGCACCGAGGATGTTACTACCCATGGCTTCATTAAAAATTCTTTCAGAGGAGACAGAGCCCTGATGCCACCAGGGCAGACGGTGACAAAGATGAAGAGGACAAGCCCGTGACATCCCACTAAGCTCCCCACCCTCCTCCCACCACGCAGCAGTACAAAAACGTGCATTCCCACAGCCGCCGATGTGATTCCCACAGCATCACAGCCCCCTCCTCCTCCAGCACCCCTCGGCAGCTGTGGGGACCCCAGGATTACATCTAGCTGGGGGCATCTGGGAGCGAGAAAGCAGCCGTGGGGGCCGCGCTGGGGAGATGTGGGTGCCAGAGCCGACGCCAAGGCGTGGGAGACACAACAGCCCTCCAGCGACTGCAGACATGCGGGGAAACGGGGGGGAACGGAGCTGGCAGCACGCCGGGGCTCGCTGCGGTGGGTCTGAGCCAAGCCGCTCTGCAAACCTGGCAGACATCCCATCCCAGCTCTGTTTCTTTCTCCCCCGTTTCTGAGCAGCCCGTGGCAGGGGAAGCTCCAGGCCAACTCCCGGGGACAGAATCAGTTTCCCCTGCTCATCAGTGCAATGATGGCCTCCAACTCAAAAAGGGACAGGGCTCAGCTTTCCACCGGCCAGGACAAACCCTGCGTGGCAAAGGTTAAATACCCACCTGGATGGCTGCAGCCCTAACATAAAGCCCTGGCATCCCACCGTTCCCTCCATGGGGACAGAGCATCTCCCATCACAAGAAGATGGAGGGCACCCGGAGGCAGGGACAGGAGGCTCCAGCCAGAGCATCTCCCATCACAGGAGGATGGATGGCACCAGCAGGCAGGGCTGGGCGAGGGAAACGTGGCCGGCTCTCGGGAAGAGGAGGGCTGGGCACTGCATGCAGCCGTTGAGCCCGGGACTGTCACAGGCAGGGAGATCCCCAAGGGGAAATCCAGGATGCCGGCTGCCTGACATGCCGTCTGGCCAAGGACCTGCTGGTCAGCAGAGCTCCAGGCCAGCCCCGATGCCTGGTAAAGCCCAGGACACAGTCCTCTTCCTGGTGCCCTCCACTGCAGACCCCGATTTCCAAACAGGACCTGTCCCCAAACCTTCGCAGAGAGCAGAAATCCTTGGGCTTCGACCGTTTAGAGGTGCAGAGAGGGGTGGACATGCCGGACCTTATCCCATGCAGGGAGCCAATCGCCACTGCTGGGCT